AAAAACTAGATTAAGCAAGCACCATAGGTTGAGCAAAAGCAGTAGCCACTCTCCAACAAGTGAAACTAAGAAAGATCCCTTCCCCATTCGGAGGCCATCTTCAGTTCCTTTCATCGACTTTGATATCGACCGCATTAAGGCTTTGGATGTCATTGATCGAGTGGACACCCTTAGAAGTTTGTAATTATATGTTAAATTGAGATTCCTAGGCAAAGAGGCCTTTTGCTTGTGTAAAGAGTCCCATCTGCTGCATTTTTCCGTGTAGGGTGCTGAATTGGTTTGCGGTTGGTTGGCCATATTTTTAGTGAGTTGGTAAGCAGATGCTGAGTGATACAAGCTGTTATTTTTTTGTATGTGAAAAGTCTAGGGGGTGATAAATGTATTGTTCCAGGGGAATTTTAACTGTTTTTAGGATTAAAACTGAGTTCAAGGCTATAGTTTTCTCTTTAGTTCTATATGTACAGAACATTTTATCATTTCATAATAATTAAAAATTTCTGCTCCTTTTTGGTTTTTCCATTCCCCGCTTCTTTGGCATACTTGGTATTCTTGTTTTCTGGTTAACTCAGGTTTTGATGCCCAATTCTTCAGATTGGGGTGCTTCAAATTTTCATGGGGCAAGCGGGGATCATAAAACACTTACAAGCTTGGGTGTTGCGTATTTTATTAGATTATGTTTCTCGAGAGAAGGTAATGATCTTCTGACAAGTTGATATCAGAGCAAATTCGTTCTTAATATTATCCACGTTAAGTACTTATGTAAATATCATAATTATAATTAAGAAAATAATAATTTAATTAATATGTGAATATCATCATTATAATAATGAAAAACAATATTTTTATCCATCGTGCTGTGATTAATTTTCAATCCGTTAATAGTTAACGTAGAAGGATACTTCATTTATGTAAGTGAAAAAACGATGTATTTTTATGAAAAATACATATATCAGAAAAGATTAGTCTTCTTTTGTCCTTTCTAGTTCCTTGGTGAAATGAAAACAAACAATGCCAATTGAAGCAATTTCGGCAGAGGAGAATGCTTAGATAAAGACTTCCGAGGAGCTTAAAAATATTTTATCTTCTTCATCCATATCAACTAAATAAACTT